GAGAAACCTATCGATCGTCAGCTAGCACTCCTTCAGCTCAGCATTTTTAAAGAAATCATGAGCATCTGACATGTAACCCTCACTCCAACTCTATCCACAGGCAAGTTATTAGGTCAGATCTAACACAGGGCCAATACAAAAAACATTGAAAAGAATCCTCTCGGTAGTTATGATCTAGACTTCCACTGTTGGTCTGTGCTTTCGTCCTATGGCCAAACGTGTTGCCATTCAAGGGCACCACATCCATGAGCGGACATTCAGCGACCGTTCGCACTGTTCAGCAACTGCGCAGACCATTCCTGCCAGGAGTGTAGTGCGGCAGCTTATCACTTCATTTTTGTACTCACTCTACGCTATTGCGCCTGGCAAGACTTCTGCATACGAGAGGAAGGTATTGGCATGGATTCTGTGTCAAACTTCATACTGGGCCGTACGTGTCCCAGATCGAGGCCAGATGGCGAAGGCAGTGCTGGCGCAAGCTTAGCCCTGGATTCTATAGCCTTCTGTAATTGGTTCCCTGCTTGCGCTGATTCTTGGGATTAAGTCTCGGTGAGCAGCTCATCAAACATATCTGGCCTGGGATTCTGAGGAATTGTCGAAAGATGCAGGATCTTCGTGACTCAATCAGGCATGAGGCGGTTGAAGTGCTCCAAAAGCTGAGATCTTCTGGAACATCACCTTAGCATGGTCTAACCAACATCTTCTTCGCCTTTGCCTCTACCCCCTTCTTCGCCGCCCTCTGATGATGCTTTTACAGCCTGCAGCATCTTGTATGCCTGCTGCTGCTGACACATAAAGCAATAAGCTGGATCAATTTCTGCCAAATATGATGAACACGCACATACACGCGCATGAAGACGACAGACAGCACTGACGCATTGAAAGTCGCCGTTTGCAAATGTTACCACCCCCCCCCTTTTCCGCAGGCGTCGTTTGCTACGCGCTTGTACGCGCGTTCTATGGACGATGTTACGGCGCTGCTACGAGCGTTTATGGCAGATAGTTACGGCGCTTGTACGGCGTTTATGCAGATGGTTACGCGCGCTTGTCTCGACGACCCTTGTGCGACCCCACCGCCGTTACTTACGCGGTTGCCAGCGTCAGATCGCCGAACCTTTGGCGTTTATGTTTTGAACAATGCTCAAAACAAAACGCACCGTGCACTCGGCGATCTTGCGGCGATCGATTTCGCGCGACCCACTGGCGACCACAGTGCGCCGATGGCCTGGCGTTTTCCAACCGCCGCTTATACCGCGCTTATGGTCGACCTTGTGCCGCGCTCTGTGCCATTTTACCGTTTCGCCGTAGAAGCGCCAGTCAAGGACGCCACCCCGGTGTGACGGCGGTATAAGGCTAGTTCGCGCTGCCGAATAGGTGAGACCTAATGGTACGGTCCAGGCCCGTAGCCAGCTTTATTATTGGGGGGGGGCGGGGGTTGGCGTTTCTCTCGAATGTATGGCAATTGGCTCGGCAGGGGCGATTACATGATTTGTACCAGGGGGGGCGGGTCATACCGTAACCAAAGTTGCAGGAGCACGCGAAGGGGGGGGCTCTGGGTCTTTAACATTTTTTTTAAATTAGACGTCTCAATGAGATTTTCTGCGACGAGCAAGGGGGGTCCGGACTCCCTGGACCCCCCTCGTACACGCCCCTGCTCCGGGCGCGAAGCGACAGGCGAGGGCAAGCGACCGACGGGGCGAGTGTGTGGAGAGGGGGG